TGGTCACTCGTCTGTTCTAAGTTAGTGAACAACATTTAGTTGCTTCAAACTGTAAACCCAATCACTTTACCATTTATCCTGTCTAATTGTTCAAATTTGCGTTTATAAATCACATAATGGCTGTTTTTCTCTGGGGTGAAGGGTTCAACTATTTCAATCACATCCACACCAGTCAGTCAGGGTTGCTTGGTAAGTAGCAGATAGGTTTCTGAGCGGAATGAAAATTTTCAGGAGATAGAGAAATCATGATTTGGATGAGAAACCACTGACTCGAGATAATTAACTCAAACTATGTGAGAATAAAGATATCACATTCCTAATACAGATCTCGTAAGGCTGTTCCCAGACCGCAGACTTAGTTAAATTGTACGTACAGACAGGATACTTGGTTCAAAAAACGTAAGGTGAATTTAATTACGACTTGGAGCTTCCTAGAATGTAGGAATTCTGCAATTGCCAATCAACCAGAGTGGCAGCTGGGCTCCCCCAGTCACCCTCCGCCACAGACAGAAGCTGGAGGTACGCATGCTCGTGGAAACCTGCTGGTCGGTCCGGGTGAAATTACCGTGTCTGGTCTTACCGTGTTTTCGCTCATTTTCAGTGACTTGAACATTCTATTCCCTCATTCCCACCCCCTCCTTTTGCAAGGTGAAAATCCTGCTCGAAGTTTAGATTTAAGCTTAGACCAAACTTCCCCCCAAGGATGGTCACAGAGCCCTCCCACGGTGGCCTCTGTGTGCACTGTCACATGGGCCCCGCAGGACTGAAGAACTGTCCCCCAGCCACGGAGAGTGCTGTGATTGGCTGTCTCTTCAGGGCAACCCGCCGCCAATGGCTGGCTGAGGCATGAAAGTCACCACCCCTCCAGCCCTGTCCCAACTGCAAAGGGCCACGCAAGGCTCAGGGCTCCTTGTGGGTTTGGCCGAGGTCTTCCTTGTGGAAACGTCGCCACCCAGCTTCCCCTCTGCCCGATCCCGCCTCCTTCCCATCCCCACAGATATTGGTCCTGAAAGAACTCCACTATCAATTTCGTGCACTCAAGGTCACATCCAGCTCAGAGTCTGCTCCCGGGGCACTTGGCCTTAGCACGTGCCTTGCCCAAGTCTAGGATAAATACCCTTCCTCCACGTGTCCTTAGCTCCCTACACTTACTACCGTTGTGTCTGTATTTTAATTGCTAATTGATTCCTCTATCTCCCTATCAAAACCGTAAGCTTCTTGAGAGCAGGAATCATATCTCATTCATTTTTGTATCTCCAACACCAAGACCGTAGTAGATGCTCAAGAAATACTTGTAGAAAGAATGCATCCATCAATAAAAGGGTGCAGAGAGATATAATATTTATGCTTAGGGAGGTATACGTAGTTAGGACAATGTCATTGCTATAACTATTAAACCCTTTGTTAACCTATGTCACCCCCAATAAATTTAATAAAAATAAATTGATATAAATTAAAAAGGCACTGACAAAAAAATATAATCCTAAATTACATTTGCTTAACACAATAGACAAAGTGTTGGCAAACTTTTTGATTAAGGACCAGATAGTAAGTATTTTCATCTCCGAAGGTGATACAGTCTCTGTTATAACTATTCAACCCCGCTGCTACAATACAAACACAAATAAGCATAACTGTGTTCCAATAAAACTTTATTTACAAAAATAGGTAGGGGGCCAGATCTGCATCCCTTCCGATAGTTGATCAGTTCTTGTTCATGTAGTAGTTAACATGGTTGTCACTGGCTAGTGGGCATCTTTCCTCCTCGCTGCAGTTTGAGGGTTCAGGTTACTTCCATTCCGTGGCTCTGCCTTCCCTAGGGTCTCAAAGTCCTCCATTTCCATTTGTTGGCAAAGAAAAAAGATGAAGCTGCTTCCGGAAAATTAAACACAGGGCTTCCACGCATATCTCATTTGCAAGAATGAATCACATGGCCACAGCCATATGCAAAGGGACGGGAACAACAGTTTCTCTCAGCGATCACTCCAAATTTTCGCGAGAAATGTGAACTCATGGAGGACAGCTGGTAGTCTTGCCACCAGAGGGTAATTTCTCCATTTTAAGTGAAACAGCCCTAAGTAGATGTTTCTATTTTTTTTTTCTTTTGTCTGTGTCCTAAAAATCTGTAGTTTTCAGAAACCGTATTATTCATACATGCACATATACTTTATGGGGATTCAGCGATGTGTCAAAAGATGCATAAACCCACATCGCTCTCGGGGAATAATATCTGTCAATAAATTCAGTAATCACACAGATGTGAAAGCACCATCGTGATAGAAGCAGCGGTGACAACTATGTTGGGAATAGCTCGCAGACTGCATAGAAATCAGGGCACTTGGTAAACGTCTATGATAGAGATGGCAAGATAGTAAGGAGGCCGTGGAGACGGGGAACGGTGGATGGATCCAAGAGATGCACGGGAGGTGAAACCCGAAGCATTCCTTATGCAAGCGAGGAAGAGAGAAGCACTGTGGAAAACTGGAGCCCTCCACCAAGAAGGAAGTTAGAAAGAGAAGCAAGTTTGGGCAGAAGATCTGGGGTTCGGATGGGGACGTGTCGAGTTAGAAACGCTTTTGAGAGCTTCAGGTGGTGGTGACGGAAAAGTGACCGTTGGCTTTAGCAATATGGATATCGCTGGCCACTTTAAGGAAAGCCGAGTCGGTGAAGCAATGAGACTTGTTTGACGCGTGAGTCGGAGGTCGTGTAGACACGGAGTATAATGAATGCTTTAAAGAGAATAGATGGGCAAGAAGAATAGAAATGATGGAGAGAGTTTCACGGGAAAGGCTTTAAACCTTGGGAGAAGTGAATGCAATTAAATGCCCATGGGGGGGCGAGGGGAGATATTAAATATACAAGAGAAAGAAGGGATCATCAATAATGGAGGTTTCCCGAGAAGGTGGAAGGCGATGAGACGCAAAGCATAGACGGGGAGGTTAGTTTTAGCTGGAAGATGGGCTACCTTGTCTATTGAACGACAAGGAAAAAAAGAATAGATACAGGCAAAAGGAGTTGTTCATGTTTGGATACCAGGGAGATGGAGAATTGCGATTTGATAGCTTCTGTTTTACTGTGATGTAGGAGTCAAGGTCACTAGCTGAGACAAAAGGAGCAACATGAGATGGGGCAGGGGGAAGAAGGGTGGCCGGAGGCTTTGAGTGTGGAGAGCATTTAAAATAGTCATTATGGAAAGTGGGAGAAAAAGCTGATCCAGGAAACGTATGTGATGGCAGAGCTAGGACAGTCCTTTTGAGGTCAGTGACATTAATTTATAGTGTTATCAGTCTGACCCATTATTTACTTTCCACTGCAGCACCAGAGAATAAGGTCTCAAACCGATCGACTAGCGAGGACAAAATTCGAATATCTAGCCCATAGATTTTTACCCAAGCTTACCTACGTGAATGCTTTAATTCTCACAATGACCTCGTGCAGGAAGGATTATGTCCATTTTTACGACGAGAAAAAAAGAAGATGAGATTCAGTAATTATTGCCTAAATTCAGAGCCAGAGCCCACACTTTTTCCACTACGCAAAGCTTCTCCTTCCAAAACAAAGTGAAACCGTGTGAGGATTTAATCACACCTCCAGTCCCAAAGAAATGTCAAACCAGTCGTATCCAAGAGTTATCTAAACTTCCACCTTAATGGCGCGCTAGCAGGCGTGCTCTACTTAAGACTAAGGGATTCAACTTCATTGTCTCCCTGACACTATCTGCTTTTTAGTCAAAGAGTCTATGAATTGAATTCTGCCCAGTCATTTCTCAAATACGAACCTAACTCTCCCCAACAGGCAAAACTTTCCATTCGCCTTCATGGAGTAATACAGAATTAACGGGGGTGGTGTTTTAACAAGCGAAAACTGAATAAGGACAATGAATCGTCACCCTCCTCCCACCGCCACCTTGAGCCCCCTCCCTCCTCTCCAAATGAAGGTGAATAATAATAGCCCTTCTACGGGATTTAAAAGCAAACAGCTGAGACTATATTGACATAGGTCAGAAATCGTCACCAGTCACTTCAACTCCCGGTCTTTGCACCTGAGAGTGACAGTGGCCTCTGTGGGTCTCAGAAAAGATGGGAGAGGGGTCTCCAGATCAACACCGGTAATGACTCATCCCTGGGTGCGCCTTCTTAATTAACAGAGGAGTCTCACACTCTAACACTGCCTGAGGGATGTCTTCATCAACAGATTTTGGGTTTAGACACATCTAGAGTTGGACATAATTGCTATTTTTATAAAATGGTAGAAAACAGGAGAGCCTCGCTTTAAGTGATGGGTTCAAATACTGTCCGAAGCACAAAGAGTTAAGACCGAATTCTTCTCTCCAGAAACCCATCAGTTGAGTCCTCTCCCTAAATTTTTCCCTAGCCAACTTACCCGTAAACTCCCGTTGCCGAAATTAAAGCTCTTGGAGGCTGTGTCCTTGGTACTAGATGCAAATCACCAAGCAGCTCTAATGAATGCCCGGGCCCAAAACATCAGGGCCACTGTTTTTGACTTCAAAGAAACTTCGACATCGTCTTTCTAGCCTGACACCCATAGTTCAGAGACGAGAAAACAGAGACCCAGAAAGATGGAGTGACTCGTTCAGAGCCACACATCCAGATGGCAGCAGAAGTGGACGAGAACCCAGACGAGAAACTTCTCTGTGTTATGAGACATGCATGTGCTCTAAGCAGAGTGTAGCGGGCGAACAGGAAAGGGTCGAATAGTAATTTGTGACTCTGAAAATGACTCTAAGGAAATTAAAGAGAAAACTTACAAATGGAAAGCACCAGTCAAAGGCAAGCCTCTCTTCCTGACACCACACCCGGACGGAGCCAAGACGTAAAAGTCATGAGGGCCGAGGGGACTGTGGCAGCGCAGGTGCTTAGGCCAGGGTGCCTGTTCCCCTTTCATCTGCGGAATGAGGTCTGAGAGGCGAAAACAAAACGCTTTTCTGATTTTGCAAATGGAACCCACACATTTTTCTTTTCAAAGGGAGAAGAGAAGACGGTGTTTTTATTTTGAAATAGATTTAGGATGGGAATACACAGCCCATTCTGTGGGTGATCAAAACCGAGGGCCGCTCACCCCTAAAAACAGACCTCCCGTGTGTGATTTTTAATATATAGAGAGATCTTCTTAGGTGACAATCCCCATAAATCCATAGAAGGCCCGTTGAAATCATTGTTGACTGGCCTGTAAGTATCATAAAGTTTGATTTCGAGTTGATTTTTTTCTCAGTGAGGCCTCACGTAACAATCGTTTCCTCGTGATTGCTGAGTTTTAACGTGTTCATGGCGAAGCAGTATTTTCTCGTTCCTTTGAGGGGGGAAAAAAAAAACCCCTCACCGAATGCTTTAAAGAGATTCTTACCTCTTGGAGGCCAAGCATGAAACTGTTCACTGTTCACCTGTGCAGACAGACCCATCAGCTCTGCCCAGAGGTCATTCGAATCCACCGCAAGTGGACACGCTTGGTTCCAAGAGCTAACCATAAAGATGATCATTGCCTTGTACCCGCAAGTGGGATTGCTGGACCCTACGGCCGTTCCGTTTTTAATTTCCTGAGGAATCGCCATGCTATTTTCCACGAGGCACCTAACGTACTCAAACCCGTAGAAGCAGAGAATGGAATGGTGTTGCCAGGGGTCTGGGGAGGTGCTGTCCAGTGGTATAAATTTTCAAATATGCACTATGAAAAAAGCTCTAGAGATCTGCTATGCAGCGTTGTGCTCGCAGTGAAAGATACCGTACCATACACTTAAAATGTTTTAAGAGGGCAGATCTCATGTTAAGTGTTGTTTTTTTTTAACCACACACACACACACACACGCACACAAGTAAATTCCTTGTACTGGTGTTAAGCACAATAAACAAAACAGTGAAACCTATTTGAAGGTACTTGTGCGGAATTCGTGTTTTGACAACTTGGCTCAGGTTAGTTTGAAAGATCCAGAGAGAAATCTGAAGTCACACCCACTCAAGGAGAGGTTTGTTTAGTCCTGTTTATTTTATGTCAAAGGCCACAGCTCTTGTTGCTCTCAAGTATTCTCGATGGTTCTCTAAGAGGTATGCTTTGCTGCCGTGAGGTCACAGGTGGAAGTATTTGTACACGTGTGTGCTATCACTAAAAGTCAACAATGAGGGACCCCCTGCAGAAATCAGGGAATGCAGGCCCAGCCAGTCAGAGACCGGAGTCACATTGTCCCCACCACACCCCTTTCCCATGGCCAGAATGAAGCCACTCGAATTCAGGCCATAGGCCACACATCACTGGCAGAGCATTGACACCAGTGAGGAACAACCTGAGTCCCTCCCCCTTGCCTTTTTAGGATGAGCGATTAGTGATTGCGTTTTGCTATTTCCCACACATGCCTCGTAGGTACAAATAGTTCAGTGTCCAAAAAGCCATCCAAATTTCTCACCGTGTTCTCTTATTCAATCTCATAGTCATAAGAATGTATTTTTCCCGTGAGACTTAATAAAGCTCTTTTTCTTTTGAAGGGGGAGGAAAGGAAATGCCATCGAATGTTTTTATTTTTTTGTAAAATGGAGTGGGGGGTGGTTAATTAGAAGAAGGGGAGGAAGGAAAAAAGAAAGGGGGTCGAGGAGGGAGGGAAAAAGGGTCTGAGAAGTTATCACAACTGATCTGCACAGAAAGTTAACATGTGCGCTGCCAGGAAGTTGATGGCTGCTAATATCCTGGCATTAGAGTGTTTTGACATGGGAACAGCTCTCACTATTTACCTACCACGTTTTCCGTAGATTCTCCGAATGCAGGAAAGCACAATCGCGCTCCCATTCACTCTTTCTCTCTCACTCTCCAGTTCTGTGGAGGAAAGAAGCAAAAAGCGCAGCAGGAGCAGGTAGCAGCGGAGGAGAATGCCTCATCTCGTTGCTGCACCACGGTCCGAGTTCCCACGGCACGTCTGAGTTTTCTTGCCCCTTCAGCTGGGCACGTAGTGTTTTCGTACAGTTTTAATGGGGACAAGGAGAAGTGCTGGGAAGGATGCTGTTAACTGGTATGCAGAATGGATACCTCGGACTGTCCCCGCCCGGTTAATCCTGGCAGCCTCCTTCCTGGTCAGTCATACTCTGCCCGTCCGCCAAGCGCCAGTGCATCTCCCTGTGAATTAATCATCGCTCCTTACTTCTGTTACTCCCAGGGGAGGGGGCTCCCACCCTGGGGGCAGGAGACGCCGGGCACAGCCCCCGGCTTTGCTGGGTGAGGAAGCAGAGGCAATGCTCTACACTGGAGAGGCTTGTGCTGAGGCACAGGGACAGGGTGGCAAAGCGCTCGGTAACCGCTACGCAGACAGCGGGAGCTAGGACACATGTGCCCAGTGAATACACGGCCGCCGGCTGGGATTCTCACGGGAGGCGAATATCAGATGTCTACCCTTCTCCATGACGGCTTTTTATTGTTTTCAAGATACATGAGGTGGTTATCATATGATATGAAGAGTTTTGAGTCAGTTTAAAGAGGCCTGTATTAGACTATAGCTGTAAGACTGAATACACACACACACGCACACACACACACACGCACGCGCGCACACACACACACACACACGCACACACACACACACAGGCCAATACCGATTAGTTGATCAGGCTGTGAGTTCAGAGTCGGACTCTCAAAATTTGAATCCAGGCTTTGCCCCTTCCGTCCTGTGCATCGACCTCTTCTTCAGTTAAATGAGGATAATAATATCGCCTGCCTTATAGGATAAACGTGATATATAACGATATAACGGACTAGAACAGCGTCTGCATGCGATCAGCCAGACGAGGGCATGGATTTCCGCCTGTGTTTGCAGTGCTGGGTAAACACGGCACAGAATGACGCTGGCACATAGCATGTGCCCAGTGGACACTGACTGAAGATTCACTGGCAGCAGCAGTGAGCTCGGCTGTGAACTCAGTCCTCCTCTGGCCCCTGCGGCCTGAGTCTTGCATCTTTTTCTTATAAATGGAAAAAGCTTGGACTAAAAGATCTAAGGCCCTCCCAAGTTTTAAAGACCCAAGTAATTTTAACTATATTTAGATATCTCTGCCAAAATTCAAATTCGTCCGCCTTCAAACTTTGCCGATCGTCTTCACCAGATATATATACATATATTTATATACACAAAGAAACAGACGAAAAACTCCCTCGTTTAATCGCCCTCCGTTCCTCCCCTCCCCCGGAGTGACCGGTGGGAACAGGCGCTGCCTGTGTTGTCTGGGTCTGAGCTCAGTAGGGGCAGCGACTTCAGCGGGGGAACCTGTGGGCCCTGCCGCAGGTGAGAGCAGGTCGGGGGCCGGGGAGAGCAGGTGGGGGGGCCGGGCAGGGGTCCCCGCGCGGCCCAACCCCGGGGAGGGATGGAGGGGAGGGACGGATGCAGGGATGGAGCTGGGCCGGCGGGGCCGCGGCTGCCAGCAGAGTCCCAGCGGCCCCGCAGAGCCGAGCTCAGCATGTTTCTGCAGCTGTTTTGACGATGCTCCGCGTGTTCCCATCACTACCGAGATGCTGCCGCCGGCCTCCTGACCGCAATCTATTAGCTCCAGTCGCTCTGAGCGACTCAGCCCGGCCGCAGCTTCCTGCTTACCCCGCGCGCTGGGGCGCCGCCAGCCCCCCGGGGCGGGGGGTGAGGGAGATCACGGTGCCATTTCAGCCCACCTTCACCACCAAGCGTCCTTACTCTCAGGAGGTATTCCTTTTTTTTTTTTTTAAAAAAAGAAAAAAAAAGGTCGTCCCACGCTCTGGCTAACAGTTTCCAACAGCGCGCGGTCGGCTTTCCCTGCTGACCTTGAGACACCACAGCGTTAGAACTTAATGCGAACTAGAGCGGCCAAGTCCCGCGACCGAGATCCAGCAAGGTTAGAGCCGCCCCTGACCTTGACAGAGAGGCAATGAGACCTTGTTTATAAGGCGTGTTCTGCCCTCTTGCTCGCTTTGTTTCGTTTGTGCTTCTTTAGTGAAAAATTGCAACTGTGGATGTGCGGGCGGTGTGTGTGTGTGTGTGTGTGCGCGCGCGTGTGCCTGAGCGTGCGCGCGCGTGTGCCTTGCACACAAGCTGGAGGGTGAAAAAAGATCTGAAAGATAAATGTTTTACGTGGTCCTTTGGTATAACTGGGATGAATTCGAGAAAGCAAGCTCTTGCATGGAAATCACGAGCTCACCGAAGAAGGGAGTACAATAAGTTTTCTTAAAAAAAAAAAAAAAAATGCCATTTATTTCTCTGCCATTTATTTCTGGACCAGGCAGGACAAGAGTGAACGTTTGAGGGGCCGCCTGCCGACGCCCTCACCTGCTCCAGGGGCTGGAAGGGGGACAACCCAAGTCAGCACTTTTCTATGTGTCAGTTGAAACTACAAAGGCGACCAAAAAGAGGTCTAATTCGTTTTTTTGTGTGTGTTTTTTTTTTTTCTTTTTGTTAGCTTCAGTTGGGAACGGCAGGTAGAAGCTGCACTTTGGTTTTACTTTTTCACCACGGGAGCTATAAATAGACGAGCGCGTGTGGCTTTCTGGCTAAGTTACCTACCCTTGCCTGCACCTCACGATCCAGGCAGGGGCCCGAACTCCCACATGGGCAATTGCGGGTCATGGCTCCCCACCTACATTTTCCACAACATGTGTGCGGAAAGAAGAAACGGGGCGTGCGAGCGCGCGTTGTGTTGTTATTTTTGTTTCGGCTTTGAGTTCGAGATGTATCCCACCCACACTGTCGATTCTGGGAGCAAGGCCACCTCCCAAACGCCCCGAAGAGACGCCCAGCACCTGGAGCAGGGTTTGCTCTCCATGCATCCAAAAATACACCGACGTGTTACGTTACAGAACTATTCACGAGCGACCTACCGACCGGCTTTATAGGATGTGTGCTGTCTGTCTACCAGCCTGCGTTTTCTAGCACCTGCTTTTATTTCCCGCCCCCACTCCCACCCCCATTTGGTAAAGAAAATTCTTCTCACTTTTAGTCGATGGCAGTCTGGGTAGCAGAAAGTCAGAGAAGTCGGTTTCTATTTCTAGCGAAGCCGTGAACCCACTGCGTGGGCATGAGCAGGCCACTAGGGAGCCAGACGTCCCCGGCAGTCAGATGCGGTGATGTCCCCCACCTGGTCGTCAGGGCGGTGGCCATAGAGCCACTATGAACCATTCACGGTCCCTGGTTTTTTTTAGAAAGGAGACAGATTTCTGGTCCGTACTTTCCTCCAATTTGTCCAAATGTGAACAAAATAAATAAGCAAAGAAGACATGCCCTCGACACACACATACACTTTTCCTTTTCCCTAATCTTTACTTCCGGTTCCACCCAAACTGTCCAAAAACGAAAAAACAAATTGCTTTGATCGTCTTCTAATTCCATACTCTCCTCCCTCCCCCATTATGTTGCGAGTTGGACGCATATTTACATGCTCAAAACCGAAGTATCCAGGCTAGCCCATGCTACATTCCAATGGTGAGATTCTGGAATCATCAGGCCAGCTGGCATTTTGGTCACTTATGTTAAACTTAAGCCTTGATTGTTTTCTATGTCCATTATCGGCTAGTGCAGCTGCTCAAAGCCTGGCACTGATATGGTCAAAGTGGTTGACAGGGGTGAGTCCCCAGGAACCAGGTCATGCCTCTTACGGCCACGACCACGCGTGTCACTACCCATGGTTCCTTCCCGTCTTGGGGTGTGTAAGTTGGTTGCCGAGGATATACAGTGAGAGAGGAATCAGGACCAGAAACCATCCTTCTCCCTCACTGGGTCGCTCTGTGGATAAATAAGACAACGTGGGTGAAGTTCCTGGAGTATATTAAGTGGTCGAGACGTGGTAGCTTTCATTATTCCAACTTCTTGAATTCTGCCAACCTGCAGTAGCCTGGCAGAAGTCAGTCGGACTCCCAGAGAAACTGATTTCATCCTGCCCTTTGCATGGATGCTGACTGATGGAATATATCCTAAAAGGTGTGATTGGCCAATGCTCACGTTTGTGGATGAAAGCCTCTCCAACGCTTATTCAATTTCACCTCGGTTCAAAGACAGTTATTGAGCCAACAGACTCCCGCATAGAATCCTACAGAAGGAAGTGAAACCAGAAATAACTCTCCTGACGTCTGAATGTTTTTCAGAGCAATCGAATTTGGGAACTTCACCTGACAGCTGCCCTAGAAACTTGAAGATGTTGAACAATTAGCAATTACTACGCAATCGCTCCCTTTTGCTCTCTCGTGCCCAGTTTGACCCATTATTTGACAATCCCTTAATACATCCCACATGCGGACGTTTTGACAATTCATTAACTAACCTTCACAAAACTCCTCCAAGGTAGATGGATGAAAAGCACTGGGGCTTTATCTCCACTTTTCAGGAAACTAAAAACAGAAAGGTTACGACTTACCCCAAAGTCACACAGCACGCTGGAGGAAGGGCCGGGATTGATACTAATAAATTCCGTCTCGAGCTGTAAGTCTCATCCTGAGGGAATATTCCCGACTCACCACGAAATTCGATATAGTTGCTCAGACCAAGTTCAGCTCTCTGATACTTCCTGGAGGGAGTAGCCTTGAACAGGGTCAGCCAGAAAAAAAATAGAATTCAATAAAATTGAATTCAATTTAATAGGCAGAGAAAAAGAATAAGGAAGATCGTCAATAGAGAATCTTTCGTTCATGCAGCCAGGTTGTCAAGCTGTCAGCTTAAGCTGGCATCACGGGGACGATGCATACAGAAATATACTTGACTAGGAAAATGGTAGGTTTCCTAGTACTGTCAGAGGAAAACAAAGACTTCTAGAAACAAAGGCGGAGGTGTCTTGGGGCCATTCAAGACAAGTTTACAGTCAGTTTCTAAGTTCGAGCTCTTGCAATATTTTTGGCTACTGCTTACAGCGTTATGGAAGGCCTTGCTGAGGCCACCAAGTCATAATGTTACTTTGTGTGATGATGTATGGCTTCCTGTCCTTTTGTGCTTTGCATCCCATCCTTGGTCTCTTTCCACGTCATTCCCGAATTGTGCTAACTCCTGCACTTCTTACATGAAGCCGAAGTCCAGAGCTGCTCAAAATGCCTTTCAGAACAATACAACCGCCCGAGGAAGTAATTGCTCTGGGGAAATATTAATGGACCAGATTATTGGGTCATACAATCTAGAAAGATACCTGTTCAGTAAAAGGCTACATCGTTCAATTATGTGTGGCTTGTGATTATGCTTAGGCACAAGAAGGCAGTGTCACTGGTCGACATTATACTAATCTCTTGACATACAAATGTCCTTCCTGATGGAGAGCCAGCTATGAGAACACAATTTGCCATCGCAACACGAACACAATGCAAAACCATCCTGGGCTGACAGCATCTTATTAACCTGCCCGTTATTTGGAACCGTGCTTCAGGTGGCCTTTACAGGTTTGTATGCGAGGTGTTTATTTTTTAAAAGTTATTTACCACCTGCACATGCTGTGAAGTCATATGGCAATATTTACCGCTTTGGTATGGGAGGATAAGGCATAATCTTTTTTTTTTTCTTATGTAAAGACTACTAGGATGCTACAGCCGTAAACAGAGAAGTCCAATGCACAAAAAGGAAGAGAAAGTCTTTGAGTCAACCTACACGTGAAGAAGCAGAGTCATTCCAAGTACCAGGTGCCACCACACACCTGACCCTGCTGAGTAGCTCAGTTGAAATAAGAGGAAATTAGTCTTAAATGCCACGAAATAGATTTATCGCAAAAGGTCCAATCACAAATAAATTTTTAAGCTAAACTTTTCGCCCCTTACATTACCGCGATTGTCAAATTTCTGAATTGTTTCTCAAAAGGCTTAGTCGGAATATCAAAACAGTGGCAATTTCACAGACCAAACATTGTAAGTTTAGCATTCTGTTTCCATTTGCCACAATCTGAGATCCTCCTGGAAAATGATGCAGGTCCACGATGAAAATTGGTAACCAACAGGCAGAGCAGCCAACAGCCTCTACAATGGATGGTGACTCATGGGGCTTTGAAAATTCAGTCTCTCGGTTTCATGGGCAACGGCCTTGGCTGCCTTCATGGTCGATTGGAATGGAACTAAGAAAAATGAAGAGGGGCCAAGGGATTGCTAGCTCGTGGGGATGGACTGGGGACTCTGGCTTGTAAACAAGTTTTGTGGTGGCCAGACCTGAGATGATGTGGGCAGAGCTATCTACTGCTTTATAGGAAATCATTGTAATGATAAACTTCATAACTTTAGAGTATGACTGTGTTTTTTGTAAGACACGGCATTCAAGGGACATCCTTTGGTGACATTGCCCTGAATCGCTTCCTGTTTAGTTTATTTATTATGTAACCTTCTGATGCAGTGAGCGATTACATTTCCTATTATATTTTCTGGCCTCCATTGTATTTTTATTTAATACCATGACAGCCTCTGGTTGTGGTTGGGAGCTTCTCAGTCCGATCTGCTGGCCAGCTTGCACTTTCTCTGTCTCTCCAGACGACTTTAAAGGTGGGAAAACGCCATCGTAAATTCATTTGTTTGATTGTTTTTCAAATTACACCTGAGAACAAAGCTGCTTTCATAGAGGAGGTATTGTCTGTTGGCTTTTTTTTTTTTTTAATCACGATACCACCCCTTTTCAGCTCTGCACTATAGGTCCCCTCCCGAATATGGAAAAATGGGGACATCTGAGCGGTGTCTATTTCATCTGGCTTCTCTTCCCTCTCCTCTCCCTCATCTCTCCTCACTAAGGCATTGGGTTCTCATCTAGCAGTTTCTGATTCTCGTTTTTCAAGATTGGCACCAATAGAAAAAAGAGCTTATGAACACCAAGCTAGATTCTTATCCTACTGGGTCTCCTCCAGTGGGGGTGGGGAGGGTCAAGTGAACACACAAAGGAGACAGGAGGATATGGGAAGGTATGCACAGGTGAATCACTGAGCCGTTGTTCAACCTTAAGGCATATTTAAGACCGGACAACAATAGCAATTAAATCGGACACACAAGAACGTAAGCTGCACTAGGGCGGGAGATCAGCACACTCACTCCCGAAGACATCGCCACGTCCCTCTGCCTGTCCTCCTTATACCTGTCTTGTTGGGGATGATTCAGGCACAACTGGCAGCCACTCTCTTGGCTTTTCAGCATTTGGGATCAATTCTAGCCACACACCATTCTGTGTACCTGAAACGAGCGTGGAAAACTGCCCTTCAGACACCCTGGGTGCCATGCGTGCTCCATCCCCTCCCTGACTGGCCCGAGCACCCGCACTGGGTCCTGCAACTTCCCTTCACCCACCAAGGACCCCCTGAGCTTCCTCACTCCCATAAAGCAGATTCAGATGGGTTAAATGAGCCTCCTTCTCCTGGTCTAGGAACAGTGGCTGTCAGGTGGAAAGTGAATGATGATCAAGAACTGGGTCAGGGAGAGAGAATGTGGCCCATCAGCTAAACCTAAAAAAAAAAAAAAAAGATATTTTTGAGGCAGAAGATAAGAAAACGATATCATTCTAATTTTTGTTTCTAGCTAGAAATAGACCACTATTTTTGTGAGGTTATACAAAGGTCAGTGTTTTCTAGTGCACGCTTCTATGCTTCTTTCCTGATTACATCAAAAAGGTGTTATAATTTCCTAGAAGAGTTATATCTAGCAATATTTGTATGGTTATGGAGACCCCCTTTGCGAGACATAGGCAATTCGAGGTTTTCTCCATCTAAGTTTGAAAGTGTTTGAAACGTCCGGGGAGTTCTCGGATAGTGTATGAATTTCTTTGACCTATTGTATTTATTTTTAATCAATTTGATGTTCCCTCCAAAAACCATAAAACATTGTCCAAGTGATGCCTCCACCTCAACTGTGCAAAAGTTTGGGGCTGCTTCAGAGGGTAGAGCACCCCGGATCTGCAAGGAAGGGTGTGTAAAGTGAGTGACTACAATTTAGGGCGCCCATCTTGTGAGAGATAAAGAAACTTTATAGTTCCTCTCTAGGATCTCTTACAGTTTTCATAAATGTTCATGAATCGAAGTAATCAAATTCAAGCTGGAAACATGTGGGGTGTATGTGTGAAAAGTAAGGTATTTTTGAGGGCGTATATAAAAGAAAGCTAATTTAAGTGAAAGAGTCAAGACTCTTACTCATTTTGAAAATAATACAATGTCTTTCCTCAGAAGAGCTCAATTTGACTTTTGCCTAAGAGCGATCAGGCCCCTGACTCACTCTTTTTCCTGTTCAAAGTATCAACCTCAAGGCAGTGAAAAAAAAAGCAGAAAACTTTTATGAACAAAATGAGCAAATCAAATAGATTTCTTTGAGTAGGTGAAATGCTAGAGCCAATTGATTTTTCTGGGGTCGACTATCAAATTAATGGTGTTGTTTTTAGTGTCCATAAACCAATATCTTCTATGTAACCACACATATCCACATAACACACCTTCTGATTACTTATCTGTCATCTGTCATCCTTACCTCAGAACCTTTACCTCCAACCGTAGTTCAAAACATTGATATACACGTTCCCCGTGGAGCCCTTCGACATTTAAAAAATTCACTTGCTTCAGGTTTACTTAGGATACAAAGCCTGCAAATGACTATTTTGTCAACATTTTTAAAACAACTCATGACAAAATAGTATGCAAGGTATTGTTCTTATTTCTGATTTTGTGGTGACCGAAAGGCCATACAGCCCACCAGATAAAGCTGCTATCGATTGTAGGAAGAGAATTCATAACTCGTTTCCAGAAAGAGCTGCTACCAGGTAGACGTCTAAGGATAGTTTCCTGTATTTTTCCCTCCTTATAAGAAAGTTCCATGCCTGTGTTATGTATGAATACATTACGCATCTTAATGTGTGTATATTATCACCCGGGTCATTATTCAGCAGACATTATTCACTTGAAAACTATGTATTTAAATGAATATAAAGGCGTATTAGCATATCGTGCCTATTTTCAGATGGTTAATTTCATTATGGGGCAAAGAAACATCAGCCCTTCTGTTTATAGCTTGCCCCCTGCAGCAATAAAACTCCTGTAGAAACACTGAAACCAAATTAGTCCCTCCGTGTGTCACACAAAACCATTGTGGGGGCAGGAGAGTGTGGAAATTAAAAGCGAAAACAATCAAAATTAGGATTGGGGTTCTTCTTTGAACACCAGTGAACTCTGCTACATAGATAAAAATATAACTGGCTATAATGTAACATTGGAAAATGAAAGGTCATTTTAGTTATAAATAACTACCGAACGAGCTACACACATGGTCTTGTTTTGGCCTGTCGTCACATCCAGGGAGGAGACGCCTTCGAAGGCGGCATTTTACTTTCTTGGGATCGGTTGGCCTTTATCTTTTAGGTTACACGACTTCTATTCTCCTTTATCTTAAAGCTCTGGTTTTCTTGCTCTCATTGACCCAATGCCAAAACGTAAATTTATCCCTACTCGAATTTGTGCCAAGAGCACAAACATAACGTTTACAAGCTCAAAAAAAAAAAAAAAAAAATTTTTTTTTTCTATGTAACTAATCAAGCAGAGAAACGATAGCTTGTCACCATGCTTCCTTCCCAGGGTCTCTTCCACGGGCAGCGTATGAGCAAACGTTTCCATCTAGATGTCTCCTTGGCAGAGATTGTAAATCATACCCCGTGTCCCTCACAGCTAGACAGACTCGTCGACCGCATGGATGGTTTATGGCTTTAGAATTCGAGCAGGATCTGCAAAATAGCCCTTAACAAACTTATCACCAGGAAGTGTTGTTGTCCACCCGAGCTGGTGCACCAAGCAAAAGAGGAATCTGTCTGTTTTCCTTTCTCTGGGGCATTTCGAGTTATTAGGCAATACAGCCTATTTCCTTCCTTCCAACCCGAGAGGTATTGTGAGCAAACAATGAAAATCCAACTCTATTCATGTTTAAATTTCGCCATTGTGTGTCCTCCTGTGTATTTTTCTGCCTGGCACCACTGAAGTGCAAGATCCGATGTGCTTCTGGACAGAGTTCAGCTCTGGTGACCTGATGATGTAAAAACACAGTGGGTTACAGACGGCGTCCGTTTGTCAGTCCGTCGACGGCGTGTCGCTCTGCGTCTTTTAGCCATTTTTTTTGACTTGGTAAAAGCACGTTCTCTCTAGTCTCATACTTACATGTTCACAAAATATTTTGGCTTTCCCTTCACTCTCGAGTTCAGCCCTCAGCATTATTGCGGCGTGGCCCACACAATTAACGCGTGACGCCCTTTACTGCAGAAAAGTCCATCGGGGGAAAAAAAATACATGTATTTATTGTTAACTTTTAGACATACCGAAAGGAGTTCAATAAATGGATTTAATGCTTACTCAAAAATTTAAGAATCCATTAGGAAGTTCTGTTTTACTGTGTCAGTGCGATACAGTTCAGACTGTAATCGTACCCTTTCCAAACCCCATTTAAAGTAAACCATTTATTTTTTCTACTTTTCCCACAAGTGCCTTAATGTAGAATTTGGATACTTTTCAGAAGAGACCTGTGAGGTAATGCATTTGAGAGACATAACAATATTTATAAAGTTTGGAAAAATCTTTTGCTTAAACGAATGGGGGGAATCATTTTCAGCGTCGGCAGAATGGATAATACTATTGATACTGAATTTGGTTGTTTCCTGTGACTTTAATAGCAGATGTGGGGAGCGAATTCTCCTTATTATTATTCTTCAGTGGTTTATAAGGCAAGAATGGAATTTTAAGGGTTCAGGGCACATTATTATAGTACTAAAAAAAAAAGTCATATTGTTCTCATTTTTCCAATATTGCATTTTTCCTTTGGTGCTATAGCATAAATTTTAATTAAATAGACCAATAAAAAAAAAAGACCTAACATTTGTCCTTATTTTACAAATAACGTTTCCCCTCTTGGGAGGATACAAAGAGCTTGATTAGACATTCACATTCGTGTTCTCTGCTCATCTATTGAAAAGTTTAAGGCAGGAGCCAGAAGTTTTCTCGTATCACAAAGTGGGCATCCAATCTCAATCGAGAGAGAAGGACGTTCTGGTCGCTCCGACTCACTCAGTCTCCGGGCTGCTGTCACTGGAGGTGGAAACTGCAATATGAACACCTGTCCATGAGGAACTAGACTTGAGATAACCAGCTCATTTCACACAGACCATTGTCCAGCCATCAGATGGTAATTACTTTTAGTCCCCATCAGCCTCGCCTGGATTCCGGCCAATGGGTTGTGGGTGGAAGGGTCTGTATCACATTTCCATTCATCCGAGCCATCCAGTCTCTTTCTTGCTTGTTTTCAATTACATCGACATGGTGGCTTTGGCACATAGTAAGTAAATAGCAACGTATTCAAAAAGAAAGGTCTGAAAGCCAATATCTGAAAGATACTCTTGAGGTTTCACCGAGTACAATGAAACTGGCACAGAAATTCTGGCATTCGGACCCAAAGTCAGAAAATACAATTAATTAAGTTAATTGTGGTGAATTCGTAGGATATTTCATGAAAGCCAAAAGCAGCAGATGAAAGTCTAGAAAGCAGTGGAAATGTTACCGGATTTTCTACGAAATAAATAATTAGTAAATGAACTAAAACATCGATCCGATCAGAAAAAGGGCATCGGAAGCGTTGCTAGAAGATTGACTTTCGTTCTTACCTTTTTAACACACCTACCTCGAAGGAAGAAAGTCCCTGGACAATCCTGATGTTCTCAGACCTTCCAGAACTGTAAGATGATTTCACTTAGTGTGTCCTTTCCTTCCTTCTTTCTTTCTTCGTCACGGGTCCCCTGGCTCTTCCCGGTCCGTGCCCGGAAGTTTCCCAGGCCAAGACTAACACTGAGAGCTGAACAGTAGAAATGATCGAAATTAAAATAAAGCAACTACTTTTTAATTACATGACCCTTGTATGGAATTCATCATCAGGTCTGCTTTTCTTTGATGTTAACTATCTCTCCCAAACCCTTGAACCCAGCCCTCCCGAGCTTGTCACCCCCTGCTGGTTAATCTTCACCCGGCTCCCACCTTTTTTCTCTTCTTTCAACCTAGGGCAAATTTAAAATACGAAATTTCAAAATACCCGGCATGCAATAATCTTATTTTTCTCTTTACTTTTGCTTTGTTTTATCTCACCAAAAAGCATTTTCTCTGGAATGGGAAGAATTATGTTCTATCTTTGTAGGATGTTTTGAGGAAGTTAATTCAATATTTCAGCAAACATTTCTTAAAAGGGAACATCCAGGTACTTTGCTAGGCACCAACCACACGTGATATTTACAAGTATCGTTTGATCTCTCAAGGACATTAAAACCAAGAAACGAAGAGAGATGCTTAATGTAAATAAATAAAGTATCCTTAAATATCCTGAGTATTTTAAATTCTAAATAGGATGGAGTAGAAGTGCAGAGGAGGGGGCATAGGAGTATTAGAAAACCTTTTCAAAATGGTGACTCCTGAAATGGATCTTGAGGGTTGAGTAAAAATTACCTAGCGGAGTGGAAGGGTGAGTGAAGACCCAGAGATAGGAAATTGCATATAATGGGTCGGCAGTATTTTGAGCATGAAAGAGGCTGTGACAAAGATGAGATGAGAGAGATTTCATAGGGCCTGTCGGGTGCCCTCCACTGAGAAATCTAGGCTCCTTCCGGCACTCAATGGAGAGTCACCAAAGTGATCAGATGATTATTAGTAAATGACTTCACTGACGCAGGGTGGAGGATGTGTTTGAGACCATTGCAATAAACGGTAATAGACGCTGGGAGCCTGAAATAAAGCGGTAGCCAGGGGAGCTGGAAAGGGCTGGACAGGAGAGGCAATAAAGAAGTACAATTTTGAACTCGGTCATTGATCGGAAGCCATCAAATAAGAGTCATAGGTGTAAAAATAAATTACGTGCTGTTCTTACTGCTTTACTCATATAAAACTAAAGTGGAAACGCCGCTAACAGTGGGGTTCAGAGTTGCCCCCCGGGGGAGGAGTGCAGAACGGGGGAGTCAGAGAGCTGAGTATGCGTCCTGGCTCCCACGTGTTCTGGCTTAGCTGCTTCGCATTTGTCATTTAGGCCCTTTGAGCCTCTGTTTTCTTTTATCCACAGAATAAGGAAGTGATGAAATATAATTTACAAAATTACCTGGCACATCATAGGCATTCGCTCAATGTTATTCAGACTAAGTATCTTTTAAAAGAGAGACAAGGGACACCTGCTCATAACTGCCAGCCACGTGGCTGATAGGAAGCAAGAGAAGTAACTGGTTGGCAGCCGTTGAAGATGACATGGCTCCTTAGAGCTCATGCATCAAGCAGTTTATAAGAAAAAGTACCACAGTCGCTATGCTCTAGAGTTATAACCACAGCCGAAGGCAAGTCCTCATGTGGGCACGGGGTGGAAACAGCAGCCTCATCTACAGAAAGCCCCACACCTAATGGCACCTTCAAACATGCACACTATGCCCAATAAAGACACTTTGTACAGATTATTATGAATTTTCATTTGATCAACTTTAGGTGGTTTTTAATGACTTTTTACTTTAAAAATAAAGGTCTTATTTTAATTCAGGGTGGTCATTGCTCATTCATCAGATATAAACACGAGAAAATGGTTTGGAGAAGATGCTGCTTGCAAACTTCCGCTTGTATATTTACACATAAACAACTTTCCTGATACATGTATGTCTATGAGATGAATGTAAATCCATCAATCCATCCAGGTGAAAATCTAAAAGCATTAGTACTCGAGTGCGTAATTATTAGGAATCGATTAATTGTTGATCTTCATAAGACTATAGCTTATCCTCCGGCCCAAACAATGAATCAATCAACCAATATTTGTTGAAGTCACTGTAAGCAAAACGTAAGGTCACCGAAGCGACAGCAAAGGAGATGTAATTACAGACCACATGGAGCCTTTGAATCTGAAACGCAGAACAGCCTCCCAAGGCGTGGTGAAAGATTATCTGCGACAAAGGGAGTCTCCGCAGAGTACCAGATGATGGTGTTAGCCAAAACCGCTACAGAAGTTAAAAAGAGAAAGAGCCCACCGGGTCACGTGATCAGAAAGCTTCGAACGGTGTTGAACGGGGACCAGATACGAGGATGAGCAGCTTTTATGCGTATGAGAAGAAAGAAAAAATAATTGTTTTGTGGCATCTGCTATAACATCACTCTGTTCTAGATTACTATTTATACAAAAAAAAAAAAATGTCAAGTAAGAAAATAGAAATGTTGCAACAACATCATGGAAAGGGACTTCTGTACTCACCAAAATAATAGCAAAGTTCTGTAAACAATATAAAAAATTATTAAGGAGATATTCTACATTCCTTGTTTGGTATTAAATCCTCCAAATCTGGTGTGTATTTTACACTTAACAATAGATCTCAATTCGGTCTAGCCTGGTTTTAAGGACTCAAAGGCCACATGTGGCTGATGCCTTCCATATTGGACAGCACAGGTCAAAATCAGACATTTGTTACGTATGTAGGTGAGATTTTATGTCTTAGCTCCACAAATCCATAGAAAGCTGCTTGAGAATTGGGCCTTCAGCCTCCATGTGTCTTAGTACCTAGATAAGTGCTGAGCACATAGTAAATGATCAATAAACATTCATCGATCGTTAGCTGGAACTCATACGTGGAACTTAAGCATGTTCTCAGTTACACCCTAGAGAGTATATGCATATCACACTCGAGATCATTCTTTCTACACCAACAAAGAACATATTCGCACCTGTCAAGCTGATGTTCCGATGTGATACAATAGGTTGGTTAAACAAAATGATCAATCCAATTTTGGTCCCAGTAAGTTTTCTTTAATTAAAGAAAACCCTTAGGAGGACAAAGTCCACACAGCTGACGTGAGTTCAGTGTGTTGCTGCTGTTGTATTGTTACTGAGGGGGGTGGTGGTGTTACTATATCTAGAAAATAAATTTCCAAATATTATTTCAGAACAAATCAAAAATCGACAGAACTGCAAGGATAAATAGACAACTCCCGATTATTTTAAGAGATTTTAACAAATCTTACTCAATAACTGACAGAATAAGCAGACCAAAAAAAAAAAATCAATAAACACGTAGAAGATTTGAACAACAGAATTTATCAACTCGATCCAGTGGACCTACAGAGGACACTGATAATTGTAAAACTTATCTTTTCCAGCACATATAGAACTGTTTCAAAAACTGATCATATGCTGAACTAGAAAGCAGATCTCAATGCATTTCAGTAGATTGAAATTATGCAAAGTATATTTTCTGAGCATAATGTAATTAGGCTGGAAATCAATAACCACCCCCTCCCCCAAAAAAATCCTTGCATGTTAACTAGAAATGCATATTAATTGGAATTTCAGAAATATACTATCAGACAACTCATACTTTAAGATCGCAATAGAAATTAGAAAAATACTACATATTGGGATGAAGACAAAGCTGTGATTATAGAAATTTTTCTAAATTTAAATAAATATATTAGAAAATTTTTAAAAACCTGAAAAATCAATGACTAAGCAACTGTCTCAAGAAATTAGAAGAATAAAGACAAATAAAATTCAAAGAACATAAAATAATAAAGATAACAGTAGAGAGTAATGGAATGGAAACAAGCACATGTATTAGAAAAATTCGGCAAAGTCAAAACTCAGTTCTTTAAAAAGACAAATAAATCCGAAGAAACCTGGCAAAGGCACTCAAGAAACAAAGAGAGAAGTCCTGAAAATATATCATGAGCTTGAAAGGGGGGTTATTATAGATTCCCCAGACATTGAAAGGATAATCAAAGATATCATGAACAACTTCATGCCAATAAATCTGAAAAATCTAGGTTAAATAAATTCCTAGAGAAGTACAACCTTCCAAAACTGACAGAAAAAGAACAGAACGTGTGAATAGTTCGGTTGCAGAAACGGCCTCTGCGATTTGAGGACATGCCAGGCCCAGAAAGCACCTCAACTGTGTGAAAATAAAAGAGAAAACATTCCCAGACTCAGGCTGTGAGCACATCACGCTGGAACCCAAACCCAGGAAGGATATTGCAGGAAGGAAAATTAAAGGACGACCTACTCATGGCCAAGATATGAACATCTCAAACAGAATATTAGCCAAAAAAAAAAAAAGAAATCTAGAACTATTTTGAGAAAAATAATATATCGCAACCAACTAGGGTTATTGGAAGTATGCAAAATTGGTTTAACACTCAAAAAGTCAAACATTGTAATTCTCCGTATTTACAGGAAGAAAGAGCATGTTTCATCAAAGTTAATATCCATTCCTAATTAAAAATACTTTGGGAAATAAGAATAGAAAGAAACGTTCTCAATCTGATAAAGCATTTCTACAATAAATAAATAAATAAAAGAGAGAGAGAAAGAAAAGAGAAGACTAAAATCTTGCCCTTTGAGATCACACACAAGATGGGGGTGCCCACTATTAAGACTTTTATCACATCTTGAACTAGATATTTTAACCACTGATGGGGGTGCCCACTATTAAGACTTTTATTACACCTTGAACTAGATATTTTAACCACTGCAATAAGGGAAGGGAAATAAATAAAGGCATGACGATTAGAAAGAAAATCTTTAATTGTCATGATTTATAGACAATAAGATTCGGTGTATAGAAAATTGAGAACAATGTGCAGGCAAATTATTAGAATAGCTAATTTGGCAAGGTTGCTAGAGGCCAATACACAAGGTCAATACACAAAATCAATTGTATTTATGCCAACAAACAAATAATTAGGAAATTCACAATTTTTAAGACACCAGTTATAATGGCACAAAAATATAAAATACCCAGGCATAAATATAATATATATCCATACATATTATATACATATACTATATGCCATATATATATATGCAAGAGCACAATTGAAAAACTTTTTAAAGGCTTAAATAAATGGATGAATAAAACATGTTCAAGAATCAGAAGCCTCAGTATCGTCACGATGTCATTTCTTCTTAAATTCATGAATCCGCGGATTCTAAATGATAACGATAGAAAGTCCCAACAGGATGTGTTGTGACCTCGATAACATGATTTTTAAATTTATATGAAAATGCTGAAAAGATGTGAAAGTATCCTTATGTTTTGCATTTTTCCTTTCCATTCCCTTTATTGCTTCTCCCTTCACTTTGGAAACTTTCCTAGGATGCCACGTAGATAGAAGAGGCTCCATTTGATATGAAACCGGTACCCTAAATTTAAATCAGGGGAGACTCAAAAGAAAAATAAATTCCAAGAAATTATCCCCCTGACCGATCATTTCCAAGCGAGTGGCTCGGCAGTTGCGGGGTGGGGGGCCTCCCCCACACACTCTCTGCCGTACTCATGATGAGATAGATAGTCTACGAAGGCCATTTCCCCCCGCAAAAAGCAGTCTCCCCTTATCTACCTGTTCCTGCATCATCAAATCCTGGAGGCGTCAAGGCAGAGCCGGCCTGAGTCAAATGCTGTGATAGGCATTATGGGGCCAGTACTCCCACCCCTAAGACACAAAGGCACAAAGAGGGAAAGCAGGGGAAGTCTATGCAACGGAATGCGACACAGCCCACTCTAACCTTCGCCACAGTCTGCTCCCGCCACCCACGCCAGAAGTCAGTGAACCGATGGATTACTGCTTCATGCTTTGCCAGTGGTTTCTGATAGCTGCGAGATGAGCTGTATCTGAACAAATCCAAACCTCACGGGAGAGATGACTTCTCACTGGGCTATTCATATCACAAATATTTGTTCCGCCTCGACATGGCATTTCTAGTTATTTTGTTTCTGGCTTGTTAATTTGGGGCTTTCAGTCAGTTAAGGATATTGGCATGCTCGCTCTACCAGACAGCATGGTCAAAAGGGTCAACCCCAAGCCCTGTCTATTCTTACCTCCCCCGACATGGGCACTCGGAGACTAACCCAAGCCAGCTAAGTAAGAACCACGCGTGGAGAGGAGTTTGGCTGGGTGTGAGGACCCCTCCTTTGCTCCCTCGGATGCCTTCTGCCTGTCCTGGCGAGGTAAGAAGCACTGGGAGGCGCTGAGGATTCATGGTAAAGGGCAAGGCTGGGACTGGGCATTACTAGCGGAGGTGATAGATATTTGGGGAATTCTAATTCGGTCCAGTATTAATTTGAATTTGTAAATCTTTTATGGATCGCCAGACTGAGCAAAACCAATGCTTTGTTCCAACTCTACAAAGCCAGCATCTGAAGGGTGTATGATTTAAAGCGTGCACTGTTCATATCACTCTTTGAAGAAGTCACATGACACAATTTGAAAGACTCCATAACAGTCATTCAAACATTTCCCTGGTGACAACAAAAGGATTTCAAAGTTAAGTAAACTGCCTAGTCCATAATTATGCCTAAGAAAGAGAGCTTTCCCCACTTCGTTTACAACTATACAGATGAATCCAGCATTTCTGATTACCGATTATACTCATCAGCTGTTCCAAAAAGGAAAATATCTTCCTTAAAAGATGTTCTATGGCCTTGCCGACTATAGCCCAAAGTGAAAAACATTTAGCGATAGTCCCTTGACTGTGGCTTCACTGATTAACTTATGTGGCTAATTACCAAACTACGATTTAGGCAATGTAGACACATTTTAATGTTAATAAGGGAAGAATGAAATATATACTACATGAAACAAACAAAAAAAAAAGTGTTTGAGGCTTGAGTGGTTAGCAACCACAGTTGACGACTTTTCTCAATCTACGCTGATTTACAGTTGATATTCTCTGACGAAAGAAAGCAATAAGAAATATTTTTTAACAGAATGATATGGTACTTACGAAACAGGTTTATTGTCAAGGTCCTTGAACTAATTGCTTCCTTCCCTACCAAAATGCCAGACACTTCTTGGGTAGGTAGTTGGCAAAACGTCTTTTCACGATGTAGGCAAGTTGCCCACTTTTCTTGCTAAAGGGGTAGGGCTAACACTCTACGGCTGTGTAACCGGGGACTTAGGTGGATGGGCATGCAGTGCTGTGAAATTTCATAATCCATGTAAGAAGTCCAATCAGACCCTGGCCTGGGTGACCAAAACAGAGCCCAACCGACCGTGGCTCAGCATCTGAAGGCAAAGCAGAGTGGGCCTTAGTTTTCGAAATGTGTTCATCCTGAAAGTCTCCTAAATTGCATGAAACTCCATTTTTCCTGCCTCAGAAGATTAAGTGTGTGTCAGTCGCTATCAGAAAGTAGGATCTCTGCTTCCAAGAAGTCAGGTTATTTCAGGCTTGCTGCCACTGCCTTGTCATTTGTCTAACCCTGAAAGCAAACTTTTCTCCAAGAATTATCTTCTAAGGACCCTTGTACTCCTGTTATCCTTTGCAGGCTATTTCATTATTTTATTTAAGTCCTTTCTCCACTGGCCACCCAGTCCAACCCCACAGCACCGCGAGGAAAGGGCTAAACTCTTTATACGCGACTTGAGATTAAAGCAGTACGCTTTCTCCTTTGGCTTGAGTTATTGGGTGAGTCAGAGGTTCAAATCCTTCTTTTGCTCACTTTACACAGAACACCCTAAGTCTTGTATACAAAATAGAATAAAATTAACTAATTATTCAAGGGCTATTTGTCTGTTTCTAGATGAATCCGACCCTTTGGGGTTTTTTCTTGTTTGTTTGCTGTCGTTTACTTTTTTTAAAAAATCTCTTTGATTATTTTATGAATCATTTAGAAATGGACAAAAACTCTAACTTGGAAAGATCTGATTTTTGTCCAAAATAGCTAATTCAGGAGTCTCCTAAAAACAGCAACGCCTATAATTCAGGCTTTCATATTAGTACACTAAAATGGCCAAATTCTGCTGTGCTTTTCAGAGAAACTCTACCATATTGAGTGCTTGACATCAGGAAACTCCATCAAGACAAGAACTATGGCGACTTCAGCACCTAACTCAGCTGGACACGGAGCAGGGCCAAACCTTACCTCAGGCCAAATTTTATAGGGGGCTACTTAACTAAGCAGGGACTGGGGCTGCTCCGGCAGGGGGAACACAGTGATCACCCAGAACCAAAGTCCTCCTCATTGTCTTTAAAGATGTCTATTTGACCTCTCTGTTGGAAAGGAAGTATGCACTTATTTTTGAGTTGTTTTGAAATAATGAAATCAAGTAATGAAGGGCATGAGGGTTCTTCAGCATCACAGTGGGTTAAACCCCCCAGATAGGAAGCAGTGATAGTCTATTTACGACACCCGAATTCCCCTGTAGACTTGGGGGGATCTCAGTCCCGAAGGAGTGGCCTCTGAGGGCACAGTAAGAATAGTTCCATCTCAGGACGGGCATGTGGCTATGTGAACACATATCTCTAAAAAAGGAAATGATCGAAATAACTAGCAAAGCTTCATCTCGCCAGGACCAACAGCGTTTTTTTCATTTATGTTTTGATTGTGTGTGTGTGTGTGTGTGTGTGTGTGCGCTCGCGCGTGCACGCATCCTTTCTCCCTGCAAGGGTTTAGAACTCTCCTATTGCCACGCTACCAGGCCATCGGGCCGTTGCTCACTTGAGATGATAACGAATGATGATGTCACACTTTTTAAAAAACAAACCGCAATGCAACCCGTAAATCTCAAGAACACGGCCAAACGCTGTGCTGTTCCACATTTAACTAAGATTTGCTCCCCAGCTACATACAAGGCACCTAAGCCAGCTCGGTGGCTCGCCGGGGCTGCTCTGCCCCGATGACATCATCACTTGGCTTTCCAAATGTACCTCTTAGCTCAGGCTCTGTTGGCCGCTGTCCACGTAAACACGGCTTGATGAATGCTGCAGAAAAACTGTGAATCACGGATTCCACTCTCGTATGGGAAGTCAGAGTGTCAATTTTTCCTCGTTTCCAGCACCGAGCATTTGGATATTTAATGCGGCATCCTTAGCAACGACATAGAAAGCACCCCGGTGCCCGGCTGCCAGCCTCACGCCGCCCTTTCTGTCCGAGCAGCTGATCCATCGCCGCCTGGATCACCTGCACCTTTACACCGAGCTGCATTCACGGCTCTGCGCGGGGGGCGGCCGGTCACGGGCACGCGACACGTCTGTCCTTTGTTGCGGGGACGAGGGCAACAAAGAGAAGTCCTTGCCGTGTCTCCAAGAGGATAAATGGGATTCTGTCCCGCAGTCGCAGATGCTCAGGGCCGGTCAGAGCCTGGGCGCGGCCTTCGTTCGCTCTGTGAGCACCGCCGCCTCCAGCAGCCAACGCCATCGAATGCACCTGATGGTTAAAGCAAGCAAAGCAGGGCAGCTGGAAGCCAATGTTCTCCCAGCAGGAAGAAGAACGCCATAGATGCCCATCTTTACAACCCCTCAACCAGGAGAGTAGTTTCAGCGTTGTAAACGGTCAAGACGCGAATTGGAGGAATTAACGCTGCGGCTCTGAAAGGCTTCCTAGCGCCAGGCTGCGACAGGCGGCCCACTTCGCTCCGCCAGCCCTGAATGGTTAAAAGAGGGTGTGTGGGTCGGTTACGCAGACTCGTTGGGTAACGAACACTCACGACCCGTGAATTGCTTCTCAGGGATGACTAACAGCGGGGATCTGAAAATAGAACGTGGAAAACGTTAAAATGATATACTGGGGCGGATCGTTGTGTGTTTGCCACAGTTTTCTCCCTGCTTCCAAAAATTAGGAAACTGTAAAGCATCGAGAACTTTCTTCTTCATTCCTCCCGCATTATATCCAAAAAAAGCATTGCAGGATCGCACCAAACATTTCATGAAATCTTTCCTGAAAACCAGATTGTTTTCCACTTCGATGAGTCAGGAAAGGAAGTGGTGTTTGTACCGTGACTCTTAAGGTCAACTAAACTCAAATTACTCAAATCAGTCCAAGGGAGGAAGTGAATTTCCATGTCGGCTCCAGAGTTAATATCTTTCTAATGTGATCTGCAAAAAGTTGGAGCTGGTATAAGCGATGGTGAGCGGTAACAAGCAAATCTTCAGAAGTTAGCGAATCATTTCAACTCTTTTAAAGAGGCTCAAAGTTTTATGATTCCCATCTAACAGTGCCCACGCACGCGTGCATGCGTGCACACACACACGCACGCTCACACACACACACACACGCTCCACAGGAATTGATCATTCAGAAGAAGGACTTAATCGGTCTGGTCAGATATCAACATAGAGTTCAGAAGCTTCTAAATAATTCATAAAACAGACCGAAAACTAAGTTGCCAATCTAGAGGGGTATCATTTGCTTAGAAGTTCATGCATAAGACAAGCAGAGATGACGGATCACCACCATACCCACTTACGAAGCAAAGTAGCAGCATGGGGTCCGTGGTGCTTTCTGGAACCCACAGTCACGCCCTCAGGACCATTCGTGATCCTCCGATATTTTCAGAACTGTTCATTGCCCGAGGTCCGCCTTACAAACATAGAGTCTACAAGAGTCCCTCGTCTTGCACAAGACCACAGAAATGCTGACACCCCCATTGCAAAATATCCACTTTTATGGCCTCTGCGCAACATGACAAAGGTGATCTCGCAGACGCAACTGAAACGTTTTCCCACACCAAATTCCGAAATGAAAGTCGCCTCGAAATGTAATATTTTTAGGATATGATATTGGTGAGTGGAATATCTAAGGCTCAGAGCTAAGTGTGAGGGAGGATCTTTGGCTTGCCTCTCCGCAGGTGATTTTTAAGGAAACGCTACTGTCAAAAAGCAAAACGTGAAGCTGGAAGCCATTGAGATACGGATTTGGTTAGAACATGCACATTTGAACGTCGCTCTAACCAGTCGACATTAGGTCTAGATGTCAGCTGTGTGTCGTTACGTTACTTTAACGCTCTTATTCATAGATTTCACGAAAAGGAAGCGAGGATGCCTCACTCACTCTCATTCTTAATTGAAACTCCCCAAAAGCCCCCAAAGACCAGAGGGAAACAAAAACACCATTTTTGTTTCCTCTGAAAGATGCTTTCTTTGGGAAACAAAATTAAAGCAAATTAGAACACTTTCCACATTTTATTTGAATCATTTGTCTTCTGCTTATTCGCTAAGGCCATCACATAATCTGGCTGGAGTTTTGGGGACTTCTTTGGTGAGTTCGGGTACCAGTCTTCCCCACTTATAAAATGGTTTATTGATGAACACTCCGATGCTTTCTAAGTCCATGATTCTAAAGACCTATAGCATCATCTCACTTAGAGTTCGTTAAGCTGCCTATAATAAATGAATAAATAGTAGTGGTTTTAACAAGACGCACATTTATTTTTCTCTCACCTAAAAATAAATCTGGAAGTAAGCCGACCACAGCTGGTACTGTGACTCCATGTCATTGGTGTCCCGAGCTCCTTCTGTCTTGCTGCTCTACCCATCTTTAGCATGCTGACAAATGGTCTAAAATGGCTGCCGAGCACCAGCCTTTACATCTGCATTCCAACCAGAAAAAATAAGGAAGAAAGAGAAGGGTCTCCGACGCTTCCCGTCAGGCCTCATTTGCTAGAACTTAGACATACACACAAAGTTGTAAGGAAAGCTGGAAATTGTGGTCTTTATACAAGTTGGTCACGTACACACCTGAAACAATCTCCTTCACCGCTTCCAGGTCACGCAAGCTTCCTCAGCCTTGTTTCCCTCCTCTGTGAAATGGGGTAATAAGAACATCCCTGTATAGGTTTGCTGCACTGTCTGACATAGGACATGTTCTCAGTATTTGTTGGGCATGGTTAGTATTGTCATCGAGGATATTATTATCAATGTTATTAATCTAGAAAGATCCAGAAGGAAAGACTTGAAATTACAGTGTGCCCAAAGGAAAGACACGCTATTGATAAAGAGAAGAGCATCTCTTTAACTGTGACTATTCGACAATAGAGGATGGACTCGAAAAAAGCTCGAAGGCCCTGGGGTTCCACAGTCGGAGCATCAGCAGAGGTGTGGCATTTACAGGATAAATGGTTTGAAAATCCTTAGACGAAGGTCTCACGATTCATTTTGCACTGGGAACAAGAGGAAGTGGACGTTGCTGGGACATGCTCTTGTCCTCCGTCCAAACCTCCAAACCATTCGAATCTCTGAATTTCTAAACATAACTTTGAGAAAATGAATCACACATTTTCAATACAGACGAATTACTTGGTTTCCATATCGATCACACTGAGCTGGTTAACGTTTAATCCCGACCACAGACAGTCCTAAATGCAACGCCAGGGAAAACAGTTTTGCTCTGAGTGGGAGAGAAATTCTGCCCAAAGACGAGAAAGAGGAAAGGTCTATATTTCTCTACAAGCCTCTTCAATAGCTTGACTTTTTCATAGACTGGTATTCCTTTTTATAAGGAAGTCAGTTGCTCACCCAGCTGCTCAGATGGAATGGCTTTTTGTAATGCTAAAAGTATGAGTCAGTATTTTACCCGCGATAGCGTCATTTCAAAACTAGCACACAGCTTGTGAGGAGCAGCACACAGGAATTCAACGGTCCAGTACCAATCTTTCAAGATAGACCATCTTGGCAAGTTTATAGCTAATTATCTCAAGAATCTGAAACACGCATGGAAATACCTGAACATTTAAGAGGCGTTGGGAGCGTTTGCTGCTGGGTCTGTCGGCCACTCAGCTCTTCCTCCAAACTCAAACCTACTCAAACCCCCAGCGAACTCCTCCCCTGGCAAATTTCCACTCGTCGGTGCTTGAAACAGTGGACTGTTGAATCATCACCGATATCATAAGTGGAACTACTAGAGCAGGGAATTTAGAAAGTGTAGGAGTGTGTGTGTGTGTGTGTGTGTGTGTGTGTGTGGACATGCTCACAGTAGGCAGTGACTCAGAGACAGAGAGAAAGCGGTGACTTATCACCTTGTTCTGAAAACATCTAAGTCTTCTGTACACATAACTAGCCCGCAAACCACCATCGCCACCATGATCAGCAATTGAAGACCCCCACCCCCACTTCGATTCCATCTCTTAGGATGAGTATTGTCCTTTTGTCCACTCATCAACTTCCTGAGGTCAGGTGCTGGGCTAGGGGACGCTTGCTCAAACGTGACTCCTGCCCTCCAGGTACTTACATCCCACTGGGGAGACAGATACTAACCAGTGCTATCACACGCGTAAGTATTACACTACAATCAGAACAGAACGAAGCAGAGGAGGGTGTTGCTATGGAAACTTAAAAAGAAGGCTTGGACCGAGGAAGGTAGATGATGCTTCCTCTGAGGATTCGAGGCTCGCCTGAAGAATCAGTAGTTGTTAAATGACGGGACAGAGAAGATTCTTTGAGGAAAAGACCACAGCTCGGGCTCTGTGGCGGGAGCGAGCCGTGACAAAGAGGGACAGAGGAAAGGGGAGAAGGGATGTGAGATGAGGCTGGAAAGGCAGGCGCTCACCGGAATGGGCCCGATGGTCATCTCAGTTTGTCCTTTATTTAAAAGCGATAATAACCATTGAAAGTCTTAAGTGAAAGTCTTAAGCGATCAGAGTTAGGCTCAGAAAAGATTTTCTGGCTCCAATATAGAAAAGGATGAGGGGAGGGAGGAAGAAAGGCGAGGTGTAATAGATCTACCTTAGGAGGCTTGTCTGACTCCCTTGATTCATTTATTCATTCTGCATGTTTTTATTGACCATTTACTATGTGCCAGACATTATATCAGGCCTGGGAGCCAAACCCTAAGCCCAAACCAATGGAGTTTAATTTTAAAGAATGTTCCATTTACCCCAGTTTTCCATATACGAAATCATTGGGGCTGAAAAAGGAAAAGTCGGGTGGGTTTTCAGGATCCAAAATCCTTTAATGAAGACTCAGCTCACAGGCATGGGGGGATGTTCCATGACTTAAAGAGGGAATAAAAGTAGGATTCTACACACGTGTCCTGACTATGCCACCGACACGCTGTGTCGTCCTTCAAGAGGTGAACCCCGACACCGCAGTCGGGGCCAACTTCCGGTTCTCCGAGGCATTTCACTGCGGCCTTGGACCGCTCTCCGTATGGATTTGCGGTTGCCAGACCCAAATTATCCCTCCCATCGAACAAATTTCAAAAACGTACAATGCTTTATCAAAGTAGGAGGGACATGTTATTTTAACAGTTAAATATTACTACAAACCCTAGAAAAATAAACATCTTTTGCCCCACCCATGCCTTCCAATGGCTAAGTTCCACTTCCTGGGGCCAAACACTTAAAATTTTGCAATTTTTTCTTTTTTTTTTTTTCTGTTACTTCTAGTATTTACTGTCATGCTCACAAATAATATGTCCTTATTTCTTGATTTTTCCTTTTTAGTCATGATCCGTTTTGACTTCCTAGTCTGAAAGGAGTTTTCTTCCTGAGTCTCCCCTACTTTCTGTCCCTTGTCCTTCCAAGAAAGTCACATAATAATTTTGCTTAAATCCGCATTTAGTGTTCCCCTTACTTTTAGGCAAAATTTTTCGAAGCTGAGCCATGGGAGGCAGTACATTTGCACGCCCTTGCAAATTTTCCTTTTTTTCTGGAGTAAACGGTTGTATTGTTTTTCAACTGCTCAGTTTTCTATGAGCCCATTACTACTTTCAACCTGACTGGTCCCAGAGAATCCCAGACTTTCTCTCGTAATCTTCAAACGCGTATGCATGTCATTGTCTTAGAGGCATCCCTCCTGGGACCTTCGGTCTTCCTGAGCCAGTCTGGGGGCTCCCTCTCTCTCCTGAGCGGGTTCCTCTTTCCCGGTTCCTAAGCCTTCTCCTCTCTTGGTGTCCTCACTTTGCTCAGTGAGCGCCTCTTTTAATAGTCTGCCTGAAAAATATCTCTCTAACGACATCTGCGCATTACAAGTCACAATCTAAAAAGTCCCCTCCCGTTCATCGCCTCATCCCATCCTCACTGTAGCTTCATAAAATCCTACTCCCCACCCTCCCACCCCAGTTTAACCTACCGAGAGAGGTAAAGAGACTAGCTCAAGGCCCAGAGGTCCTCAGAGGACTTGCGGGTGAGCTGTCTGTGCCGCCATCACCTCTGTGAGCTGGGCGGGACACTTCGAAGGCTGGGAGCGCAACAAACACATGCTAACGGAGTGGGTGAGTTTCATACATTAGTGAATCGAGCACCTGCTGTCGGCTACAAGACAGATTTTTCTAAAGGGCCAGCAGCAACGTGAGAGTGTGTGGTCAGGGCTGGATCGCAGAAGCTGGAAATGTTCGTGGTCCAGCAGTATTGCGTTAAAACTGTTTCAGAAAAGGCAGTTTTGTGAGCAAATTCTGGAGCTATCAGTGTCGTGGATGCAGGTGTGCCCACCTGCTTTTGTCACTTCTCCCCCACCCCATCAGGAGCCCCCACTTCTGCCTTGATGTCTCATCTCTGAATCAATGCTCTGGTTTAGAATGACTCAAAAGCAGATGTCCTGAGTGAGGGTACCAAGGGGAAGAAATGTCACAGCACGGCCGCACAAAAGCACGTCTTTGAGAGCATGAACAGATGGCACCGGGTGTCCATGGCGAGAACGCTTGGCAACCACGGGAACGCTTACCAACGGGAGTCAGTCTGTTTCTCTCTTGACAACAGCAAAACTCGGATCTGTATTGTGCATCTGCCCGGGCCCTGGCTACGGGAATTCCAGCAACTGCTTCCTTTGAAATGTGGCGAGCATCTCCCCTCGCTTAGTCTGACTGCCCTTTACGGGAAGTGCGGATTCTCAAAA